TGTAGATGTCTTGTGCTGAGAGAGGCAGTGGCAAATGCAGTCATGACAACAGAGGACATCACAGTAAGAAAAAACAACAGCTGTCAATTCATCCAAAACTAGGAAAATCAAATAGCAATTGAATAACACAGATGGTAAATGATTTCATTCAGCACAGATTGACTTGTCTCAGATTGTATGCTTATCTTCTGAGGAGAGTTTAGATAACCCCCAAAACCATAACTAGACATTAAGGCAGCTACTAATGGAGCAGGACCTCCACAGTAGAGAGAGAACAGTCCTTGAAACTGTCGTGCTGCTGTGTGTGACAACTGGAAATCCAACATAATAAAAATCTGCTGCTAAAAAGGCTCGTGGCTAGGGAAAAAAGCAACCAAAAAAACCCAACAGGATCAGATACAGGTTAAATCTCCAGTCTCACAGCAGCACAGCACATCCAATCACTCAAATTTTCCTATTTTCCTATTTTTTAAAAACAATTAAAAAAAAAAACAGTGTTAAGATAAGATTGGTTTTATCAGGTAGGTTTTTTTTTTGTCGTTGTTGTTGTTTTTAAATGAGATAAGATGTAAAACTTCTACACAGGACACAGCGGATGCCTCCCCCAGCACAGCCAGCTGGCAGCAGGCAGGGCCAGGCTCCACATGCTTTGGAACACACTGTGCTACAAATGCATCAGCACTCAGCAGTTGCAGAATATTGAAAGAAAATAAGGTTAAAAGACCCAAACGCAATTTGGGCCTTTTAACCTGGTAGGACTAGTCTAACAGGTCACAGCCTAAAACCCATGGCCATACATTCTCCTGCATTAAGAGCAAGCGGATCACAACCTCACAGTCCTCCCCCTAGTTTGGTCTTTTGCAACATTAATGATTCTGATTCTCAAACTGAAGCAGCCCCTGGGCTGTTCCAACACTCTTCTCACTGTGATCCATCGGTGACAGCACAGAAGGCTTTAGCTGGGCAGTCTGAACCAGGGGAACTCTTGTTGAGCAAATACACATTTCCTTTTTAAGTATACAATGACTAACAGCCATTCATTTCTTATCAAAAGAGTGCACAGACACTAGCAGGTAAGAAAAGAGGGGGAAAAAAAAAAAAAATCACATCCAGAAATCAAAGTGATTCCAGAAGCTGGGATTCTCAGTCATTGGAATAGTTCACAGTATTTTCAGTATGCAAAAACCCGGCAACTCCTAAACAAAAACAGACCCCCAAGCAAATACACAACAACACACACCCCACACCCAAGGACCTGCACAGGGTCGATTATTTGAAATGATTAAGTTAGAAAAGCACACACATTGATGTAAACAAGGAGTGCTGTCCTTATTCAGAATGCAGCGAGCTATTACAGAATGCCATCTGCTCCTCTCAGGACATCTCAACAGATCACAATACCTGGAGGGAAATAGGGAAAAAATCCTGACATACAGGCCTGCAGTGCTACTCTATGCAAGGATATTTCCATTAAGAGCAAAAGTTTTCATTTGAGCTCATGCAAAAGATGACCAAACCTCCTTCTGATACTGTCCTTGGGAGGAAAACAAAAACCACAACCAAACACAAAACAAGCAAAAGCATTCCTTGTGATCCTGTTGTAGGAAGAAAACAGTCTGCCAAGTACAGCCCAACTCTGCTTCTCTTGGGCTGTCCTTCACAGAAGAAGGCTGTGCAGGTAGCTCATGTCTCTCCCCTGTTGCTCACACAGCACCTCACTGCTGCTTAACAGATCAGTGGGCTCAGACCCCACAAAACAACAGCTCAGAGAGCAATCCGTGGCCCTGTGCTTGCTCAGCAGGACTAATTGCAAAATTCCACAGCTGGGTTCCTGCATTCAGCTGTTCTACCACAGCTTTGGAGACCTCCCCGCTGGACAACTCAATCACCATTACTTTGTTGATACTGCTGCAATAGCTCCTACGCTGCATACACATCATCAGGACATAAACACAGCCCAGACCCAGTCACAAATGCATCAAACCAAGTGGCACTGGAAGTTACTGAGCATTACAAACACTGCTTTGTGCTTATGCTTTACACCAGTACTGCACAAACCTCACCCAGAGAGCTACCATAAGCCGTATACAGAACAGCAGCGTAGTTCAACGTATCACATTTGGAAATGTAAATCAGGTGTACCATTCCTCAATATTAACAAGACTTCCAATCAACTTTTGTTTACTCAGCTGCTTTTCTCAAGCAGAGCCGGCTGTGCCCGTGCTGTTATGCAATCCGCAGCAAATCCACATGCCCACTGACCGCCTGCAACCTCGAGGTAACACAGCCCCAACTCGGGCATCCTTCTGCTCAGCACTCCTCTTTCACACGCATCAGGGCATTTTAGTCATTTTTTAACACAAGTAATTATACTCCGTTAGGTTTACATTTTTTAATAACTAAAACCTGTTGCAATATGGTATTATAATATTGACTAGAATGCTGCACGTTGCTACTGACTTATCGAGCAGTACATTCACTATTAGACAGCATCAGACTGGGACAGATGGGGGGTTATTAGCTGCTGCTGTTGAAACAAAGCCAACTAACAGCTAAGTTACCAAAAACTCCTGACAATTTCTAACAAATTCCTACATAGGCAATGAAGACCGAACAGTAGTTTTATTGTCATCCATTTTGGGTTTTTTTCATACTGGAAGTCATTTCCATATGTCCACAGAACAAAGTTACCACTTCAAGAACACAGCTGAAACCATCTGAATTGCATACTAGGTTCCCCTGTGACTTGCTTCTAAGAACACCTGTTTCATTTTCCCTGCCCCCTTTCACAACTCACATGAGATCACAGGTTTTTGTGCACATATCTATTCAGGACCATCTCATTAATGAGTATACAAAATACAGTTCTCTTGAACAAGAAGTTGCAAAATATTCACTGGTTTCATACAGAGTACTTAACAACTATCTTCAGCAAAGTACCAGTCCCTTCTCTTTTTCCTCAGTCCAGTACTTCCTCACACCAACGTTTTTCTTTTGTATTACTACAACAACCAACTGTGATGACTCCCACATATGTGCTTGGTTCCAATCCTCATATACGGACAAGAATAGTTTTCTCAGAAGCTCTTGCCACATCGAACGCAGGTAAAAATGCATGCTCTGAAGGAATCCAATCCCACATTCTTTTCCCTTCATCAGAAATATCTCAGACAGACTTTGCCTTTTTTTTAATTCAAATAGTCTGAGTATTCCTTAGATGGCAGAGCCATCTACAAACAACCCTGGTTCTGTCACCCCGCTCTTCCCACTTGCACCAATTATCTTTTCAACATCCTTCCCCAGGTTCTCAGCTTTCTGACATTCTTTCTTAATACAAACTAAACATCACAGCCATATGAAGAAGTGTGTGGGATGTATGCTAAATGAATGATCATACACAGGGATAAGCTGTCTGAGTGTCCCTCTGAAGAAATATACAGTGTGATACCTATCTTAGGCTGTTTCAACTTAATGAGCTGTGAAACAAAAATTAACGTCAAGCACTGAGGTTTACAGAAAGAAAAACACCAAAACCTGTATGTTTCCAGTCATTTCTTCCCTGTTGAAGCATTTTATTATCCCTTTCTTCTACAATCCTAATACTCTCCTGTGAAAGCCAGCAAGTTTCAAGCATTTATTTTCCCACCAACATTTTACTTTAGAAGAAAACCCTCTTACTGCCAAGAGTACTGCTCATCCTCTTGCAATAAATTTTTTACTTTCTCTTAAGGCCAGACATGTTTCTGGAAAGCTGGCCAGCGTACAGACAGAAAGAAAGGCAGGCATGGTTGATATATGGATTCCTAGCACTGATGCAGTGTCTTCTAATTACAGCTCTATAGCAGCCAACTTAAAAACCACGTTCAGCAACCTCAAGCCACCTTCACAGGAAAAAAAAAGTGATAGCTGTTATACCAAGCACACTTTATTCTGAAAAAAATACACACATGCCTGTTACAGAACAGAGAAGTGCAATCACAGCTCTAAAAGAGTAATTAATTTCCAGGTCAATAGATCTCGGTGTTAAACCAAACCAGTCAGCGCTGTCAAGCTGCCATGGAAGCCATCACAGAAAACACAGAGCTGTTAGGGGACTAAAGTGATTTTTAACCTTTCACTGAACGTACTTAATTAAAGCTTGTGGCTTTGCTTTGGTCCACAGGAAAGAGGTAGGAGAATAAAAAAAAAAATTAAGAGAATGAGAATTTTATGAGAATAAAAAAAAAAAACACAGAATTCTCCTTTTGCAAAAACTGATAAAACAAATAAAAGAAATCACTCACGAGACAAACCTTTTAGCCATAAATACAAAAAAAAGCCAAACTAATGTACTTCTTTCCTACAAACCTGGGCAACATCTGGGATGCAAGGTAACTGCAAGCAATGGAAAAAGTTTGAAGCAGATTGATTTCACTGCTTCAGAAAATGAAAGAGAAATAACACAGGCGGCAGGCTGGAAAGCAGAGACCTTACGGCAGCCTTTCCCGAGCAGTCTCCCCCAAAAGCACTGACATTCACCTTAGGTTTCGCTTTCAAAGCCCTAAGCACAGCGCAGCTCTCAGGCACAGGGCAGTGCCGCACACGTACAGCAGGTGCAAAGCCTCCGAAGTAGGCGGCGAGGCCTGCAAACCCAGGTGTGTCAGCCCACGGCGAGAGGCCTGCCGTCCTCCCTGAAGTATGGGGAGCTCAAGGAGGCCACGGGCAAGGAAATGCGCTTTTCACGCTCTCAACGGGGTTTAAAGAAAAGAATAAATCACAAAATACCAGAGCAAAACTGCTCCAAGCCCTGGATACGTGTTAGATAAATAAAAAATTAAGTAACGATTAAAAATCCGGAGTGCCGGGTCCCGGATCTCCCCGACGGGAGAAGCGCTCCTCCCCCCTCCCCCCGCAGCCCTACAGCCCCCCAGCCCGGCCCCGCGCCTCCCGGGACGGCCCCGCGTGGAAGCCCTGGGCCGTGCACGGAGCCGGCCGTTAGCTGCACGCGACGAGGCACCTACCAGCTGCTGCCGGACCCACCGCAACATCCCCGGCGCCGCGGGTCGCGACCCCCCGCGGCGGGGCTCCCTGGGCAGCGCCGCGCCCTCCGCCGTCGCCGCTGCCGCCTCAGGCCGACCGCCCGCCGCGGCTGCCCCCCACGGCACGGGGGCCCGAGGCCGAGGCGGGAGCGGCGCAGCCCCCCCGGCGCCCCGCGGCCGCCATCACAGCGCCGCCCCGACACCCGCGGCTCGCGGCGCTGCGGCCGCCCCCGGGAAGTGACGTGTGCGGCCGGAGAGCGGGGCGGCGCTGAGGTGCGGGAGGAAGAGGCGGCTGGCGGTTGGCAGGGTTGGGGGAGCCGACAGTTCTGTCAGTAGTAAAGCGCGAAGCTTGCTTTTCTTTTTTTCTCCTCTACGTTTTCTTGTAAAAAATGGCACGTGCTGCAGCAGTAAAGAATTTGAAAAGGGTTGGTGTGTTTATGTCATCTCTGCCAAACGACGGCTGATTTAAACATAAAAGTTGAGCACGCTGTGTGCTGATACACACCTGTGCCAGGAGGGTCTGGCACTTGTCTCTCTTTCTGCTCCTGGCAGCATTATGCTGAACTGCTCCTCGGTTAAAATTGGCTCTCAAAACGTGTGAGCTCTTCCATGGTTTCCATTTTGCACTAGGAACAGCAACCACTCACAAGAACAGAACTGTGCTTACCATCACAGAATCACAGAATGGCCCAGGTTGGAAGGAACCTCAAAGATCATGAATTTCCAAACCCCCTGCCACATGCAGGGCCACCAACCTCGCCATTTAATACCAGACCAGGCTGCCCAGGGCCCCATCCAACCTGGCTCCAACCTGGCCTTGAAAACCTCTAGGGACGGGGCATCCACAGCCTCTCTGGGCAGCCTGTTCCAGCACCTCACCACTCTCAAAGAACTTAACTCGGCTTTGAACATCACCATACACACCAGTGCAAGCCTGCAGCTCCTAGGCCGCCGTATTAGGAATTAACAGCGATCACTGTAAGCAGAAGATATGCAGGTATTTGTGACCAAACTGTTGCCACTAAGTCGGAGACAAATCTGACACTGACTCAAAAAGACATCTCGCACAGTGTGAGGAGCGGAGTGCCACTCCTGCTACCCGCCTTTGCTTCCTGGCACTTGTGGCAGGCAGCAAGAAATCACAGCCGTATCTGCTTATGTAGGACTTAGCAATCAGTTAGAAATTTAGGACATATTTCAGCCGTTAAGATGGATGACAGAACGTCTGAACAATGGATTCTTGTGGTGAAGGCGGATGGTTTAAGCATCTGTGTTTAATTAGACAAATACCTTTAAAACAGTAGGAAATAAGGCTGTTTTCATTGGGCGACTCTGAAAGCTAATGTTAGCAAAACTCCATATTAAATGCTAGCCATTATTTCAAAACATTTAAATACATCAAAACCGAGTTTCAAACAGCTTGCATTACCCTATTCATCTAATGTGAGTCTAAAATAACAGAGTGATTTCATAGCTGTGGCACGCTGCCTGGAGAGCAGCCTCGAGCCAAAGCCTGGCTGATATGCTCGTTCTGCTCCTCCTTCCCAATAAGATGTAAGCAGCATCCCGGCCAGCAAACACCAAAAATCACACGCCATTTCTCTGAAGTATATTTGTTGCCAATTTCAAATGTGAGGTGCACCTTCTGCAAGGCTGGATTTCCACTGCTTGCATTTGTTACATAAAGCTCCTTGGCGTTGCCTGCCCCACATTGCTGCTGTGGTAGTGTTGCACTGGACAAATCCCAAAAGCAATTTACAAAAGATTTGATCTTTGTGGTTTATATATTCCCTTCAAAAATACATATTTGAGAATATGAAACTGTATGGATAGAATGTAGCTATTTTTCTGTGTGCCACAGAAGGCTCTGACCCCATTACTTTTCCAATACACATCAAAATTATATTAGAATAGCATTCTTGCATGGAGTTCTTGCTAGTAAAACTCTGCACCTTTTAAATTGCTCCAAAGATGATGCTGGATGTTTATGAATTTTTCTGTCACTCTTGAGAACAAAATCATTTTGAGGAGGAAAAAACCTGAAGCAGAGCAGCTAGGATAGATACTGACTCACCAATAATGCACCAGTGCTTTTCAAACTGTCCTGAGAATAACGGTTCCCAATTTAACATATTGTCCTGACATCTCACTTGAATTAACACAGCTGGATTATACACAGAAAAAGCAACTGCAAAAGAAAAACTTAACCTTCTGATTTGAAAATTAGGCTAAGTCCATTTCCTAAGCTTCCTTGATCAGACTCCGAGCTTTCCCGTTAAGTATCTATAAGAGCAGTGATTTCAGATGTTTGTTTAGCAAGATGAGGACACAAGTGTTGCCTGATACAAAATATGTATGCAAATATAAAACCGCACACAAATATTAGGTCCTGCAAGCTTTTAATTATATGTGCATGAGTAATTCTTATGTAATCGGTGGTACTACATTTAGGTTTTTAAAATTAAATATTGGTAACTACAGAATCATTGCCTGAACATGCAGCTATGGATCTTTTTCCCTTGGCATGCTTTTGTACAAGGCTCTTGTGTATTTTTACTATTTCTGAGAGGTATTTGGGGGCTGTTCTTCAGTGAGTGAGGTGCTGGCATGCTGAATGGCCCCGAGTCATGCAGTGATGCACAGTGCTGAAGCCAGGGGCTGAAAAAAAAATAAAGATTAGGAGCAGGGATGTCAGCGTAGCAAAAAGCAAGTATCAGCTCTTTACAGTTCACTGTTTCCCTGGGGAATTCCTATCAGTCGTTACTTGTTTTTAATTATTTTGTCATTTCTTTAAATAAGTAATTTAGTCTACATGTCATTTACTTTGGTAACTATGCTGCTAATTAACAATATACACTAACTATAAAAATACCCATTTTGTTTCTAATCCATAGTGAAAAAGAGCTGCCTGAGAGACATGGAGTTTCTTCAAGGCATCTCTATTCCACAGGCATTCAATTACTGGCTGAAGCACCAATTATATAGAGATAAGCAGGGGCTTATTTTCAGTCACAAGGCCCTTCATCTAAACACACATGTCTTCTAGCCTAGAGCAACCAGTCTTCAGGGAAAAGAGCCTCAGAAAATGAACTGAGCTTTTTCAAGGAAAACCTTGTGTAATTTGTTATTCCTTTTTTGTTCCCTACAAGAGATAAGATCAGATTGAATTATGGGATGCACATGCTAAAAGGGGATGTTTCCAGGACTGTTACTAGATCTAAACATCACATTATTCTATTTCTTTTTGCTACCTGTACACTCCATTACTAACTGGATCCTAACATATAACCTCAGCTTTCTATTTTTGAAGAATAAAACTCTGCTGAGTTGTTCATACAACATACTTTTTTTTTTTTTCTCTTTTATTTTGCATACTTTTTTTTTTTCCTGCTTTATAGGATTTAAATTAATACCACTGAGTGTGTAATAAAAGATTGAATTCCTAGAATAAAAACACATAAACGCGGTTACAAATATGTTGGTCTCTTGACACTGCTCTCCTGGGGCACTGCCTTGACTACTGCAACACAAACACTGGCACACCCAGGTTTGTTAATTTGGAAAGCAGTTTGAGATCTTTATGGGAAAGGAACAAAGAAATTGTTTATGGCTGTACACATTCTCTCTTGGTTTAACAGCAAAACAGTGTAACATCTACTAATTAGGATATTCACTGGGTAGTAGGAGATGGGATTTCAAAAGCCCTCAAGTAGAGGTTGAACATCTTTGTTTCCTATATCCTGGAAGACTGTTCAAACTACTGAATTTGACAGAGGTTTTTTTAAGAGCAGCTTCTGGTTCAAAGCATACAAGTCATGGAAGTAGGAAAAAAACACTTGGTTTCTACATCTCAGTGGGATTTAGATATAAAGAATGTTTGCCATAACTAAGGGTATATCTATGCTATGATTTTTTGTTTTCAGAATTCAACTTTTCTACTATTTGAGCTCATACAAAGCTAGCTCGGATGTTTCTATATTACATTCACTCAAATTACTCAGTAGATATTACTCAAGGTGTTCCTTGCCATGCTGTTAGCTGGGCCCTAGCCAACCTGCGTACACAAGCTTCTCTTCAGACTCTTCTCTCACCTCATACAGGATAAAAGCAAAACAATTTGGGAGTGCCTTAATTCAGCTTTCTCCCTCAACTCCTTACCATTTCAGCAAATGAGGAGATAAGGCCCAAAGTAGATGAGTTTATCCCTTTCTCAAGAGTGTGAGAGATGAAGCTGGTGGACAATGACTCTCTTTACCCGTTTAAACCTTAAAACCTTAAAAAAAAATAGTTACTGTCTTCCTCAGGCACATCCATGACAGGGCTCCAGTGAGTCTAGAGTTAAGCAAATGCCTCAGCAAACAAGGCACAGACAGCTTGGTGCAGTAAGGAAAATTTTAGTGCCTCATCTAAAACTGATACAGTCACCTTGGGTTTTAAAGGACAAAATCAAAGATCTTTGCCAGTGTTGGCTGTGAACACAAGTTTCAGATGTATCGGTGGATGTGAGAAGGTCTCACAGATCAGACAAAATCAGCAGCTTGCACTTATTCAACACTAGAGGCTGTTTGGTATTGTAACAGTAAAAACAGATTTTTCTAAAAGAGATGCAGCAAAAGCATTTATCAGCAGCATTTGCCAGACAAAATAACTGGCAAAAACGCTTGTTCCTACCATTACAGTGTTTACAGTAAAGTTTTTGGCACCTCAGAAACTGCAAATGAATCACACCGCTGGCTGGTATTTGCTGTAGGGCCTATTTGCATCTCAGAATGAATATCTGCAGTTCCTTAAGCACACTGTGCTTAAAGTAAGTGCTAATGTGTGCTTATAACACCATGTATCTCCAGGCAGATCTCCCAGGATGTGTAGGTGCACCCACCACTTCCCTCACCCTGTCTGGACCCTGAGAATGCTAACAGACCTCCATGGACCTCAGCAGCACTCCCAGAGCCTCTCCCCATCTGGCCCACAGGCCTGGGGGCTCCATTTCAGCTCAGCCCGGGGCTCTACATCGCTCCCCAGTGATACCACAGGATGTCAGTCTCCAGCCTTGC